CCAACCACCATACTTGCCCATGACAAGATTGAACCCGTGCTAACGTCGACACCAGGTCCGGCTATAACCAATATACCAACCACCGCGGCACTCGAGCCATCTTCTACACCAGATTATCCAACAACCACGACCGTGCCAACCACCACGGTGGCCCCCGACATGACTGTACCCGTGCCAACGTCGATGTCAGCTCGAGTCACCACCACAACACCGAGCACCGACACTCCCGACCCGTCCTCGACGACGGACAAGCCAAGAACCATCACTGTGCCAACACTGCCCCCCGTCGCGTGTAAACCCGTGGCAACGTCAACGCCAGTACCAGCTCTAGCCACCATCAACAGACCGACCCCTGCAACAATTACCCCAGCTACGACTACCCTCGCCGCGACCACGGCAACCCCTACCCCCATGACAACAACCACAACGCTAGCTCCTACCACAACGGCGGCTCCCACGACAACTTCTACCTTGTCGCTTGTTAGTGTGTGCAAAGATGCGACCTATGGTTTTCCTACTTCGACAGTAGGCACCACTCCAATCTGTGGAGGGGATGGCTGCTCTACTGGAGCCACTCGCTGTCCTCGCAAGGGTGATGTTCCTGTGGCCGGCTGCAACCCTGGCATTCCATCTTGGAACGCATCGTCCAAGATGTGTGTCGCTCCGGAAGATGCCGTGTGTGGTCTTGTGACCGGTAGCAACCAAACGGGCGGCACGTGGGGCTGTATGTTTCCGTCCCAAGGGTGTGCAACCGCCCCCGCCACCACGGCGTCGGGCCCCGGCACGTGGGTTGTCCCAGTCGTCAATGACACTTCGTATGCCGTCGCTTCTACCTCCAAGACGTTGCTCTGTGGTGGCACTGGCGTGTGTGCTCCTCAAGGCACTTTGTGTCCGAAACAAGGCACGGTGTCCTCCGGTGCCCCATGCAGCTCCAATCTACCGTCGTGGAATGCCGCAACGGGGACATGCATAGCCCCTAATGACGCCGTGTGCACGTACGTGGCCAGGGTGTGGCAGTGTCAGTTCCGCCCTGCAACCACAATCGCCCCCACGACCACCCAGAAAGTTGTCATTGCAGTGACCAAGATCCCCACCCCCACTAATGCCACGTCCACAACTGTCGCCCCGACCACAACATTTGTGCCAGTGTCCACCTTGGCGACAACAACAAGAACTGCAGTACCAATTGTCACGGCTAGCAACATTTCGACACCAACGATGACACCGGTTCCCGTACATGCGACAACTACATTAGCTCCATCTCCGACACCGATAGATAGTGGCAATCTGTTGAAAATGTTGCTGGAATGGCTGTGGAACGCAGTCAACAGCACTGCGACGGCAGCGTCGTCCACAACGACTCAATTAGACACTTCCGATTGCGTGCCATACCTCGCCATGTTTGGCGACTCATCCTCGTCCATCGTCAACAGCATCTGTAAAACCAAAAAGGGGTGCGCCAAAGGAAGTGCCGACCAGCCGTATACCCTCGCGCCACCAGACAGCTACTGTCCTTCGTCCATCTACTTTGGCCAAGTCCTGCTCGTGTGCTGTTGACATGAATGATGCTACATCATTCTGTGTGTGTTGAAGATTAACCAAATATTTCAATAAAAAGATGCAAAGTGACGTTATTTTTAACAGAAAGGCCACGGGAACTATAATCACTTTTCAGGGTAGGAAAATGGAGGTATCGACATCGAACTATTCCCACGGTCTAGCAGATGCCACCGCCTTCTCGGGATTCACAGAATACACCTTCATGAACACGCGTGAATAACTTCAAGTGGAAGTACGAAGATCTGTGCGAGTTAGAGATTCTTCCGTGTGAGCCAATGCTTCTCCATCATGCGATTGTACTATTAATAGAACGTTTGTTGGACAAATAAAAAAACTACTTTTGTTTCATCCAATTACATGAGAGCAGCCACATCAGCGAACTTAGACTCTACCACTGTAACATAGTTGTACGTTCTTTAGAATGCCCCAAACCACTGGGAAGTACCACATGTGTTGACGAGCATCGTAGATTGACCTTTGGGTTGACGCGAATGAACTGAAAGGCATTCAGATTAAGACACGTAGAAATAAATACCTCCAAAACGTGTGGTTTGCTTTGGTTGTTGACGAAGCTCTCTGTAAATGTCCAAGACCAAATGATTTAAAGCGCATTTGCATGCGTCCTCGCAGTCAACAACGGGACAATGGCGGCAAGTGAAGCATCGCCCTATCTTGTGGGAGCATATCATTCAACTTGGTTGAAGCTGCTTCTCGATGATTTAACCTCGCTGTTCTATCCCAACGAGCTTGGGACAATGGGGATTTACTTCCTGGATTGGAGAGTAATCGGAACAAAGTGCAGATGTGATGTCCGAGTACAGTACTAGTAGTTTTATCAATACGAAAGTACGCATTTTAATGCGTACTCTGATGAAAATCAGATTTGAGCTACTATTAATATGGGAATAGCCTTACGACCGGAAAAGGCCAGAGTGGTTATTAACAATATATAGGATAATTGATTATCTAAGAATATCTGACTAATCCATTTTGAGTTCTAGAATATCTGACTAATCCATTTTGAGTTCTACAAGTATGCAAAAATGTTACTGACATTTTTACTGGCGTTCCATTGGAAGAAAGAACCAAAATGTGTCCAATGACACGCGCAGGGACGGCCGTTGAAACCATCGAGGGCCCATGCGCCATGCAAGTTTTCGCGGTTGTTCCGGCCTCCGAAAGCGTGCAAATGGCATGTGAAGATGGCCGAATAGTCAAGGACACATTCCGAAATCTCTGTGGCTTACTGAGCTCTGTGGACGAAGTTTGAAAATCATAGTATGACCAAAATATGTACATTCTCCGCTGGCCTGCCTGTTAAATGGAGCCAATCGCTAGCAAATTTACAGTTAACCCACCACCTTTTGATAAAACCTGCATCAAATTATTCAAATCAAGTACATATGCCTAGCGAAAGCACTAATTTGGGATATATCCCTAAAAGAACGAACCACGGCGATTTTCGATTTCACTGTTGGAGCCCATGTCAGTGTCGATTCCACCTGCATCCGCATCAGCAAGAGAGCTCTTGGCAGCCATGACCATCGACAGCCTCGCCTTGCGCTTCGAACGATAGGTACGTTGCGCTGTATTCTTGTTCTTGACCATATTGACGCCGATAGCGTTCAAGCGGTTGATGTACTGCGAGTTCGCGTCGCCGTCTTCAGCGCGAAGGGGGTGGAACCGAACGTGTGCATTCGTAAACGCCATACAGGTCTGAAACACAACATCGTAAGTCTTACGATTCCAGCGGTAGGTGTCGCTACACACACCCCAAAGCGTCTGAGGTCGTCGGCGTCAGCCAGGTCCATGACAGTGGCTTCCTTGCAGAGGTTGGCGGCGTGGAAGTCGAGGTTCTCGTCGAAGATGGTCTTGTCGGAAACGCTGCCTTTGTAGTAATATGTGCAATTAATAGCAAAGCCATTCGGTAAGACCGAGGCTTCAACCTTGTGCCCGTACAGGTGGTGCTTGCCACTGTAGAACAGTTTCTTCTCGGCATACGAGCCGGAGGACACATTGGGCTGCTGGAACGTCACATCCGTAGCGTAGCGAGCATAGGGAAAGTTCTTGAATTGATGGCCACCTACAGCGAGTTGAGACATCGTCCATTTCTCCCCCACAGCAGTCACGTACTTTCGCATGACAAATGGATACAGAACCGTCAAAAACTTCATGACGCGCTTTTCGAAGGAATCCACTTTCTGCTTGAACACGGCTGCAACAACGTCCCACGCCCCACAGTGCTTGAGCGAGGTAAGAAGCATGAGAAGGAGATCTCTTGCTGTCACTTCTGATTTTCGCCCCGAGCCGACATTCCAGTGCTTGAAAAGGTGCGATCGAACGTCAGCCCAAAGGATGTTGAATTCCGAGGGACTAAAGTTGGTCATCGTGAGAATCCCTTCGAGACCTTGGGCCTTCAAGAACGCGTCGTATATGGGAGCAATGGAGTCGGTGTCGGTGTCAGGTTCGTCAGCAAGATGCGTGGAGTAGCGAGTGCGCTTGGCTTGACGCTGCATTTCGAGGTTGTTGAGCAGCGATACCCCTTGGTTGATGCTACGTGTCGTCAACGAGGTGGGGTGGGGCCCCTGCAAGCTGGTTCGGCGTGCCATTTAGTCGATTGGTTGTTATTATCGGGAAGCAGTCGATGGTTTTGGAAATGACTGAGGCGTTTCCAAAAACATTAATTGGTACGTCATTGATCACCACCAAATCAAATGATCCAATCATTTAGCGCGTACTATGCGATTGCCCAATGACTACTCTTCTGACAACTAAAAGAATCATTGACCAGTCATTTTAATGAATCCAATAGCACATGATAATTATACGAAAGTATCCGGACATTTGACATTGTTTTAATCATTAGTCAGGAGGTCTAATCTCCAGCTACTACCAACACATCGACAACCGCCACACACGTGCCATCTTCGACGACAGTCCATCCAACCACAACCACCCCGCCAACCACCACGCTGGCACCCGAAACGACGGAATCCGTGCGAACTCGACGCCAGATCCAATCACCAGAAACCCACCGACCACCGCCACAGTGGGAGGTTAAAGGCCCCAACTGCTCCGGATACTATATACGGATAAGAGTCACATACAAAAATCAAGATACATCTCAGCGGCCACCCCTATGGCCAAATATATGTAAAATACAGCAAGGTTAAATATCTATTTCTGGACCAATTCATTACCAAATTTGAATCTGAGACGTAGAATTTCTTCACCTCATTGAGATCTGTCGATTCTACGTCTCAATTTGCTGAAATTTTGAAGAATGGATATGAAATAGAAATCAGAAAATTTTGTGAAAAGTTGGTAGTTTATAGATGACGTGCACCATACTTATTTCATAATCCAGAATCGACAAAATATACGAAGTACTTATTTCATAATCCAGAAAATGACATGAAATATGGGCGAAAATAACGGCATCGTATATTTTCGATTTGTTGTGTTGTGGTTGGAAATCGTAATGCTAGTTGCACTACCTTAATCATTTTATCCAATCAATGAACGTTATGGTTTTGATTGGACATAAATACTGAGGCTGACATCGTATCACTAAGGGGAGGTGGAGTAGTCGACAATGCCCACGGCACACATGATTCCATGGGTATCGTTTTGCGATGAACGAGTTCGTGGTGGTATCAGAACTTACTAGGTATACAGGATTATTAACATGGTTGGAAAGCCCACTTAGTATCACTTGTGCATGTATGTGTAGTTGTCTGTACCAACCTCTGTCCATAGGATTGGTGGAAGTTCGCACATCAGCTTGTCCAACGCCTTTCCATTACTGCACCTTCGTCATAAAGACGTCGTGCCTTTCAAAATGCACGCCGCGGTCGTAACCTCGCTGTATAACACTACTAAGAGAAGTCGGTTGATCTAGCTTTAGCGAAGTACAAAAAAACACGTAGCATGGGAAATTAGTGAATTGGTTGTTCCTCTTATCATCAGTCATCCTCCAACGCTTCCTTGCACACCGATGGGACCCCCATATCAAATGGCACAGTCAACAATCACTACCACACTTCGTAATCCGTTTTCACACTACTAGTACTTACTGTAGGAGTGAAATGAAGTTATGCGAACTCTGCATGGCGCTGCAGAAGAAACCTACGAGCCATTTCAGAGATCGGCTCATGGTGTCATGATTGTATGCCATTGTCGTGCGGTTGAAAGATGTGCATTGTTGGCGCATTTTCATTGGACGAAATGATTACACTTAAAATTGACCAGAAAAAGTAATTCGTACTTCCTCCGTTCCGCAAAACTGGAGACATATAATTCTCGGAACGATATCTCAGGCCAATAATACCAAAATCGAACGAACTTTCGACCACAGATAGCCAATCAAAAGACGATTCTGAAGCTATTTTCAGATTTTTTTTATTGTTTCTTGTCGCTTCGCAAGCACCTGGCAGGACTCGCTGCTCAGGTCAGGAAATTTTCAAACATACGCCACACAGTCATTTTTCATTCAATCGCGCTCAAATCAAGCGCAAACAACTCGCGGCGCTGCGTAGATATTGCTAGAGCCCATCAGAATTGTAATCCCACAACTGGGCGCGGCATACTTAAGAAATACACCGACGACCAAGTTGGTATTTGGTGAGGGGAAGTCATACCATCCTCGTGTTGTACCGATTGATGCATGGTTAGCAGGTGCTGCAATACGAGAGTGTGGTTAGATACTCTAGACGCCTTGGTAGATGATGCCGCGAGAGTACTAGTGCACCTAATGCGTCCCTTGACCGCAGCGCCTGCTCGGCCAGGGCCTTGAGTCAGCAGGGCATGTTGAGGCCCTTTGCTTGCATAACCTGCTTAGGAGGTCATGCAAGTCGTTGATATCAGCCGCTTGCACGATTTGCTGGTTCGAGTCCCTGGCCGAGAAGGCCCTACGGTCTAGGGACGCATCGGTTGCTCCACCAGCCCGCTCGCTGTCATGTCCGTCATGGATGCCTTCATTACATTTTACGTTTGTATGTGGACTGGTGGCCAAGTCAGCACATGATGAACCTTCTCGTCGTAAAATCAAGTTTGTGAATAAAAATACACTTTTAGATGGTAGAGCCCATACAAACATTAAGATAAAAATGCAGGGAAAACCAATGTCTCCAGTTTTACGGAATAGAGGAAGTAGTAAGAGACCTTAATTTGAAATTTGATTTGGCCTCATAACGACGGGAGCGAAAACAAAGAATACTTTAGCGTCATCGCCCGAAGCAACGAGTGACTCTGACCACCAACGCTCGCAGTCCCCTGTTAACGGGACAGAGCGATCCCGATCCCTAGAAGCCGGACGCGGTCGTCCCTTGCGCCGTCAAGCCACGCCACGCCGACGTAATCCACCAGTTATTGACCAGCGGTTTCAACCAGATGGCTACACCAACACCCCATTTTCGGCGCACACACCAACCCCCGTGGCCGCGCCACTTAATTCTCCCGCGCCAGCTGCGATACCATCTGGCGCCACCAACCTGCCCCCTGTCCCCGATGACGATGACGTGGGACAAGGCGACGAGCGGGACTCGTGTACAACGCGTTGGTGCTCCCTGGCCCACCCTCGTTCAACGGCTTGACCAAGTCGGAGCGGCGAACATTCATCCGCCAGTTCAACAAGTACCTGGACCAAGTCAACGCCCTCCAACTCATTGGCTCAATACCCTTCGTCATGTCTGTCAGCTCGTGCATGGACATATTTACCAAGAAGCGTGTGGCGATGTGGGATATGGCCAACCGCCACTACCGTGGCGTCACGGAGGCAGAGTGGACCGCGTGGTTTAGCAAGGCGTTTGAAGAGGAGCCTCAAGACCTGGAAATGCTCAAGAAGCGTTTGACCACGGCGATCCGGTTCGATACGACAATCCTCGACGCCGACTCGCTTATTGGCAAGATGCTTGAAAACCTGATGCGAGCCTTGGAGCACGACGATCAAGCGTGGGCCTTGGACCAAAAAAGGAAGACAGTTGTCGACATCATGGTCAAAGCGATCAAGCCGCTTGGCCTTCAGAAAGCAGTCCAGCGCCAGCTGGCCCTCCAACGCAACGACCCGTTGACGTGTAGCGTTTCGTTGTCTGGCTGCGCGTGCATACCGCCGGGTACCACTTGTATGCCCTGGTAGACGACGAGATGACTTCGGCACCGCCTGCAACGTTAGTCGCAGCACTATTGCGACTGTCCGAGCCTGGACGATCTGAAGGCAGCATTGGCAGCAGCAGTGGACCTCCCAGGCGCACACCAGCCCTCGAGCAAGACAGCGAGAACTACGAGCGACAGAAGGCGACCTGCCTGAAGTGCGGCAGCGAGAACCACAAGGTGGTAAACTGCCCCAAGTGCGCGCCTGGCGAATCCGAGCGCCTGCTCAAGGAACAAATGGACAAGTGAGAAAGCGCGCGCAATAGAAGGCGACCAAGCTACAAGGCAGCGCGAACAAAAGTCCCTCGGCCGCGAAGCCACGATCGAAGGTATCGTGTCCGTCACGACGACCCTCCTCGACACCGGCTCCGACGTTACCTTGCAGCCGGTGTGGAAGTCAAGGTGATTTCGCCGGAGCCATCAGTGATCCAGCCGTATGGCCAAGCACCTGCGCTCAAGGTCGACCGCCAAGTGCAGTTCAAGTTGGACTCCCTGGACACCCCTTGTGGACGCTTGGCCCTGCGTGGACTCAAGTCCTGGGCGGACTCTTCCTCCAACGCGGCAGAGCTCTTGATCAGCTGGGCTGTGATGGAACGGCTTCTCTGAAGACGAGTTGCTCAGCCACGCATTTGCCAAGCAAGAAGTCTGGGGTGTCAGCGACGTGAACAAGCCTTCTGACTGTGCAACCCCCAACATCCAAGTCCTATCTGCTGAAGACGCAGAAGGCGAGCGGGACAGACGGCGAGCGGTGGTTGAAGCGGTGATTCAAGACAAGCTCCGTGCCGCCGAAGACGAAGGCATGACCGCGGACCTCCTGGAGAAGCTGCGACTCCTCCTGGCCAAGCACGGTGATGTATTCCGCCAGCAGATCGGCCATGCCGATCAAGGTGGAGCCGCTGCGGGTGCGCATCAAGCCTAGCGCTGTCCATGTCAAGTGATACCCCCAGCGTATGTGAAGTTCCTGAAGACACATGTGCGCGAGCTCGAAGCAGCTGGTCTGGTGTACCGCAACAACCGCGCAACATGTGCCTCGGCGCCGCACATCGTCCCCAAGAAAGACCCTGGCGACTTGCGCATGACCATCGACAGGCGGCCCATCAATGCGTGCACGGAGCCTATGCTATGGTCTATACCGAACCTCGACGCCGCCCTGACTGTCTTGGTTGGCGCGCGGGCGTTCTTCACCCTCGACTGGTTCAAGGGTTACTGGTAGCATCGCTCCATGAAGACTCCCAAATGTACTACTCCTTCATGACCCCCTTTGGAGTGCACGCGCCCACAAGAGTGCTTATGGGCCAGACCGACGCGGTGGCGTTCTGTCAGTCCGCGGTGGACTTCATGTTTGCCGACCTACTGTTCAAGGGACTCCTAGCCTGACTCGACTATGCCGAGACCCTCGCCTCCTCGACCAAGTCCTCACCATCTTCTCCTCCTTCGGCGAAGAAATACGACTTCTTCCTGGCCAAGGCCGAATGGTGGGGCAAAGTCGTCTCAACCGAAGGCGTCCAGCACTCCTCCAAAAGAATCCAAGCACTGCGTGTGCTCGCGCCGCCTGTCACGGCTGCTGACCTCCAACAGTTCGTGTGCACGACCAACTGAATGCGGTCCAGCATCCCCTGCTACACCGAGCTTGTGGCGCCGCTCCGCCAACTCCTCGACGCAGCGACCAAGCAAATTGGAAGTGCGAAGAATACGAAGCTCACCCGCGTCCAACTCACTGCCGTTGGCTGGGACGTTGGCCATCTGGCCTGCTTCGACAAGATCAAGGAAGCTCTCTTGGCGATGGTTCCCATGACGCACCCAGGGGCAGCCATGATGGTCTGCCTTTATACCAACGCAAGTGAAGGATTTTGGGGCGCCATCGTCACTCAAGTACCATTTGAAGTCCTGGCCCTGCCGTTGGAAGAGCAGTGCCACCAGCCGTTGGCCTTTCTCAGCGGTGCCTTTACTGGTGCAAGCGAGCGTGGCCAATCGTGGAGAAGGAAGCGTTTGCCGTTGTGGAAAGCTGCAAGCGGCTGGACTACCCTCTCATCCGCCCAGCTGGCTTCCGCCATTTCACCGACCACAAGAACCTGCAGTACATTTTCAATCCTGCCGGCCAGTCCCCAAGCATAGCAAGGTACCAAGCGCACAAGTTGGAGCGCTGGGCCCTGGTGCTGTCCTCGTTCCCTTACATCATCGAGTGCCTGCCCGGTGAAGACAATCTGTGGGGCGACCTGCTCAGCCGCTGTGGCGCCGCCCAAGACCAAGTTCCAACGAAGTCTGTCCGGTGCCTCTAGGCCATGGTGTCGCCCCTGTAGCAGCCCGACTTCGACTGGCCCAGCCCGGCTGGCATCGTCAAGACCCAACATGAGGCCGTGAAGAGGGGAGAGACCCCACCAGCCGGCGTGGCGTGGAATGAAGACAAGAACCTGTTCTTCGACAAGGAAGACCGCAACTGGATCCCAAACAAGAGCCACGGACCTCCTCCAGCAGCGGGTCTGCATCATAGCGCACCAAGGCGCCGCATCGGCGAATCGAAGCCACGGCCAAGGTCGTCTGCGATGTCTTCGCCTGGAACATCCTCGAAACCGATGTCAAGACATTTGTCCAAGCCTGCATTCACTGCCTCAGCGTCGACGGCTCTGTGGTCCCACGCCCGCTTGGATCGGCGCTCCATGCCGAGAAGCCCCAAGAGCTGATACATTACGACTAGGTATCCATGCCCACGGCGACGAACGGCCTGCAGATGATCCTCGTCATGAAGGACGACATGAGCGGGTTCGTGCAACTTTGGCCCAGCGAGACAAGCGACGCTGCGGCGACGGCCAATAGCCTCCTCGACTGGTTCACAACCTTTGGGTATGTCCATATTTGGGTCTCCGACAGCGGCTTCCATTTCAAGAACGAAGTCATCGACAAGATCCACAAGGCCGCCGGCCCCACGACCACTTCATGACTGCCTACTGTCCTTGGGCGAACGGAACCGTTACATACACAGTGAAATATAAGGAACCTCGTTTGAAATTTACTGCAACCTTCTTGGTTGCAGGCGAAATATAACAAATATACAACGAACGAAGTGGAACCGTCGCGAATTGCTTGTTCATTTCTCGAAAAAGTATGGTGAGGTCCTGAAATTAACCGAAAAAAGATGTAAGTTACTTAGTAGTATATAGTACTATTAATACAGTACAGTATATCTGTACATATTGTACAGACAAATTAGTGTCCACATTGGACTATTATATTCCCATCCCACCCCATCTAAAACTACAAAGAATAGACACTATTATTGGACATAACTAACGAATCGAAATTGAACATTACGAAAACAAGTATTAAGGGCTCTTACAAGTACCGTCGTACTTTAAATCCAAAATGCGTTCCCAAGTAAACTTGTCATTTCATCGCACTTTGGTCGTGTTTTCTGCTTCCACATGATTGGCTGGTGATGGTTTTGTCGTTCATCGTGTTTTGAGGTTCTCAGCACACAGGGATTGGACAAACCTATCTAATCACAGTGGCATATACTTACATACTAATTTTCATATAAACACCAATGTGCTTGCTCGCCAGCGAAATTTGCCGGCAGCGGCGGCAACTTGTCCTGGGTCCAAGCACAAGATGCTAGGTCATTCGAGTTGTAGGAACATGTTGATTTACCAGAAGCACGATAGCGATGCCTGGCTATAGATATGAAGACTCCGCCATATGTTCCGCAGCCTTTCCTCGTACATGGCAGCAGTCGGGCCGTGCCATGTCGCGAGAAAGACATAGTGCGGCTAGCTGTTGCCGTAGGTATCGTTATGGCTGCGGTTGAATGACCCAAAGGTATCCTGCGGAATTGGGATTGATTTCACTCTTCCTGATGGGGCCGTTGACGAGAACACCCCCGCTAAGGCGGCTCCGACCAACCTGGGCATGGCCCTGCAGCCCCAGGGTGCGAGTAGTATATCCAATACGTATATTAGATCAATTAACAGTCGTCGACAACGTGGAGGGGGTCTTTCCCCATATAAATTGCAAAAAAAATGCTAAAAATAAATGTCAGGTGTGGAAATGAAGCTCCCAGCCTGAGCTATGGATTCATATTCATTTGACACTCCGAATGATGATATTCTCGACAACTCAATCCATGAAAGTTCAAAATAGAGGCTAAAATCACCTTAAGACCGTATAACTCTTCACATTCTATAAATACCTACCTAGCCGAGTTATAAAATTATCGAGAGGTTCAACATTACTAACACATGCCATGAATTTCAACCCAATTCTTTGCCACAACCAAGCTGACCCAACCATGCCCACAGCCGCCGAAAAACTGAGTGACATCCACCGCGCCATTGCCTACGTCAAGCGCTCACGCGGGTCCATTGTCTCGAAACCAGAGATTTTGGACATGATAATGCTAAACGCCATGCTGCGCCAAGAAGGCGCCCCCGCTGCCAGTCGCAGAGTCGCTCGGCTCCTGCGCCGAAAGCATGAATTGGTTCAAGCCGTTTGGAAAGAGTGCATATCAACTGGAGATACCACGATCAAGACCACAACGACCCGGGATATGTCCTCGCGTACAAGGCTCCCAATCACCCCGAGGATCGTCGACGCAATTCAAGAGTTCGTCCGCATCCGCCGCCAGTCTCGTCAAAGAACCGTCGCAAAGGACGTCGCCCACTTCTTGCGGTCACAGAACATGTTGCCGTTCGATCCGGAGTCGCAGCTCTCAACCGAAGCTGCGTATCGAGCAACACAAAGAGTTTTGGCGAAACTTGGCTACAAACGTGGCAAAAAGAAAAAAAGCCTTGGGCTCCGAATGTGTGCTGCGAATATTGAGCATCGTGACATGTATGTTTCTGAAATGTGTGAAATTTTGAAAGGCAATGTCAATCGACGGCCTATTATATATTTAGATGAAAGTTATATCCATCACCATTATAGTCGGCATGATGATTCATTATATGATCCTAGTGATGATTTAGACCTTGATGTCAAAGAAAAACACAAAGGTGAAAGATTTTGTTTTATTGCTGCAATTTTAGATAGTGGTTGTATGGAAAGTAAGCTTTTAGCGTTAGATATATTTCAAGGTGGCAAACGAACTGGTAGACCTGAAACCAAGGACTATCATGGAATGTTTGACCATAAATATTTTGTCAGTTGGTTCGCTAAACTTCTAAATGAAATGGAAGATAATGGTTTGAACAATGCTGTTATAGTGATGGACAATGCAAAATACCATAAAGGTCTCCCTATAGATACACCTAAATATGGACAAAAAAAGATTGTCTTACAAAATGCATGTACGGCC